GAACAGCTCCAGCCTTCTTTGCTCCAGCCTGCAAACGATGGACCTGAGGCACAGCGTTTCCTTTTTCATCAAGTAGAGGATGGTCACTGGGCATAGTGAGGTCTTCCCATCTTGTCTGAAAGAGCTTCTTCGGGGGCTTGGCCTTGGCGGATTTGGAGGCCCATGGGTCATCAATTTGGAGCACATCAACTTTGCCCGAGTTGCCTGCAGCCTTGGTGAGAGGATCGCCTTTCTCAGTACCTCCACCCGCCGCATACTGGAGCGCACCTCTGTCAGCCAAAAGGTGGTGCAGAAAGTTGGTCCGCACGAGGCTAGCAAAGTTGATGATGCGCGGGAAGGAGGACGAGAGCTGCCAGACCATTCGAGCCCGTTCAATAGTGCTTCTGATCTGCACTCGAAACCTGGAAAGATTGATCGTATGTTGCACTTCATTGGCCAGAGGAGGAATCGCAATACGCAGTCTTTCACAGAGCGAATGCAGGAGAACCCATCCGCACATGTTGGGCTCAGGGTTGCACCTGACAATGTGCACTTGGCAAGCGAGCTGGGCCTCGTCAATCTGTGTCATGACAAAGGTAGCAATCGGTCCAGCCAAATGGGCCAAGGCATCTGGCAAACTCATGTGGAGAGCAATGGTATTGACAGCGAGGGTAGCATCAATCTGAGTCCAACATTGGTCGACCAGAAGGAACCAGGTGACATTCTGGTAGGCTCTAAAGTCTCGCCAGTGGTCATCGAAGTAGACGAAGTGACCAGTAGTGTGGTCCCATCTTGCTGGCGGCATGAAGCAGGTCTGTGGCCGTTGGAATCGGACAGCTTGCAAGATGAAATCAAGTTCATCAGAGCCCATCCAACCAGGGTAGTGGTTGAAGTGCTGAATGCGGTGATGCAAATGGCTGTCAGGGCTATCAATATGGATGGACGGTGTCTCAGGCTGCTCGAGAGCAGCATGCACATCATCAAACGTGACGGTGAATGAGTCCTGTGTCACAGCGTTGCCTCGAATTGTGGTGGTGGCCAAGAAGCTGAAGAAAGCTCGCCGCAAGGTAGCAGCAAAGTACCAGAGACCATGAGCAATGCCACTCTGATTCCAATCCTCAATAGAGTCCTCGATAACATCATCAATCAGCGCACGAGCAGCGATAGAGGTGGACGCATATAGATCATCGTTGAGAGGAAGTTGCTCAAAGACTCCAGCAGCGGTAGCCCATCTGTGAAGGAGAGCCCAACCACAAAAGTGAGTAGCATCATCGAGAGGGACATGGCTATACTGAAGTCGGTCCGGGCTGACATCAAGCAAGCGAGCAACAACCTGTAGGCCACTTCTGAGCAAAGGTCCAGGAAGGCCAACGAAGGTGACATGGGTCGCTGCACCATCACGTTGGATCTCAAAAGCAAGCCAGTGGGACCCCGAGAGGATAGGAAGTATATTGAGCCGATTGTTGGCAATCAGGAGCTCCTGGTAGTCATTTTCATCAAGGTTGGCTGTCTCAAGGTTCCATCGGACAGCAGGATGAAAAATCGCAAATTCAGGAGAGAGCCATGTCAACTGCCTCAAGAAAAATGCCATCTCATCAGACGCAAGCCAGCCTCCGGTATTGCTCGCAAATTCTGCCCGCTGGAGAAGGTTGGCTCCTGCTGGAAGCGTGGTAGTCCTGGTACCATGGTGACCTCCACAGTGAATCTCATTCTGCAGCGAAAGGTGGAGGAAATCTCCATGTTCAAGGCTGAGTGGTAATTGCTCAATATCATGGCCATTGTGAGTGTTGAGTCGATAGTTCCACGAGCCAACCTGGAAAGCGCGAGTGTGGATCCAAGATGGAACATAGAATCCACAAAGAGCCTGCTCCAAGCCAAAGCGGATGAGCACCAGCTTGTCTTCAGTGTGCTTGTGGAAGATGACGCCAAATGGGCCATGATCAGCGCCGTCAGCGGGCTCAAGAATCTTGAAAGCATGCTGATTCAATCCTTGGTCAAGGTGGCTCCAGAAGTCACGAAGGCAATGCAGTCGATCGGCTGAGTTGGGAAACCCATGGAGAGTGATCGTGCAAGGAAGTGACCCAAAGGCAATCGTGAAGGTTGGAAGACCAAACGCACAGGTAGCAAGGCAATGGCGCTCCAAGTAGGAGAGGGCAAAATGGAAGTGTTGATCTTCAAGGAGTTCATCATCTGGAGTCAGTCGAAGGCTGCAAGGTGGACTCTGAATAGCTGGAGGCAGCTGAAGAGTGTCAACACCAGGCCAACTTTGGGTGGCATCAGAAGATTCATGGGTGCCAAGGAGCGACAGGTGCACAATGGGGTAGCCCTTGATGAAGAGAGTCCAAGTACCACACTGAGCAAAGAGGTCATCAAGGCGTTGTGACGGTTGCAGCTTTTCGCCGGTCGCAGCAAAGTAAATGCGCGTAGCGAGATTGAACTTCCAGGAGAAACATCTCAAAAGGTCAACATATTGCCACTGAGGTGGGACGAGCAGCTCACTTGTTCTACCATTGACATGACAGCATCGGAGGCATAGGTGGTTTGCACCTGAGATAACCTCGTTGTGAATGTTGATCTGCTCGATGATGATGGCCTTCGGTCCCACAATGCGTTTCTGCCAAACCATGGTGATGGCCTCATTGACATTGATCCTCCATTGGAACACCTGGCTGAGCCCTGTCAGAAGTACGAGGAGTGCATGAGGCGTAGCAATAGCATTCCCAATCTGCCTATAAAGAAGTTGCAGTTGCTTGGCCAAAACCGTCGTCTCAAAGAGGCCCAACATAGCCGCCAGCATGGCTGGATCCAGAAATTCAGGGCCAAAGTCACCATCCTTGAGGGTAGCAAAGATGCCTTTCTGCTCCAAAAGATGCATAGGCAGCAAGTGCTGAAAGCCATAGGAAGCGCAAAACCGTAGGGACTGGTTCATGAGGGCGAAGGAATCGCATCTGTAGGATGACCTCAGCTGAAGCATTCGAGTCGATTTTGGCTCTCTTGGCTGGAGGCAACAACGAATGCTGGGCATAGGCTGACCTGACATTGTGAGGGATCAGAAGCCTAGAGGCCAAGCTGCGTGGAATGTCGAACCTAAAGCATTCCGAAGTCCATCGATCAATATGCAGTGCCCTAAGTGTTGGATTCGGCTTAGCCTCTTCACTGTGCAAGTCTTTGCGAAGGAACACAGCAAGCCACCGGGAGCGAACCATGTGGGCAAAAGGATGATAGTGAGAGACATCCTCCCAAAGGCTGACATATCCGATGCAATGAAGCAACGAATGGATGAACTTAAAATGCGGGTGTCGAGGCAACTCGTCAACACATTCTACTGCAAGGAAGATCGGTTGTCCTCGTGCACATTGGTGAACGAGGTCCACAAAGGACCAACCCTCAGGGCTATTGAGGCCTTTGCCTAAGCCCCCTTTACTCCATGAAACGCACGGGGGAGAAGCAGTGTACACCATGTTCGAAAAAGGCTGTACAGCATGCTGGATGGAAACATCCGCAATGTCAGCTTGGATGACTCGGTTCATGGTGAAAAAAAAACTTGGCTAGCTTGCAGGGGTGCAATCACCTGCTTGGAGCCATGCTTCAATGCCAATGCTTCAACCACTTGCGGGTCCATGTCGGTGAAGGTCTGAATACCCACAGTCACATGGGGCCAAATCCACGGAAGGGTGGAGAAGGCCTGCCCCCATCCCGAAAAGGCTCCTGCGAAAAAGTGGAAGCACTCGATAGCATCCTGAGGAACCACCATAGTTCGCTTGGTGATGGTCACTGAGCTGTCACCGACCCAGGTTCCGTTGTCCAAACACCTCAAAGGTCCAGCAAAAACACATCCATCCCCAGCACAGAGGTTGAGGGATCGTTTTGCAGCATCATGGATAACAACCTTTGTCTCGGCAGCTTGTCCGTCAAAGCAAAATCCTCTCCCCCGAACGAAAGGAAAAAGCGAAACATCAAAGCAGTCCTCAGTCTGATGCCAAAATGTGCCACAAATGATCTCACATTGATCCCAGGTCAAAGAGGGCCCATCGCACACACCTTGAAGGAGGGATGAGGCACGCAGCCTCCAAAATCCATCCAACAAATTCCAATCGAACTCAAGTTCCATGGCGCAAATCTAATGGATGCAAGCGAACAAGGGTCCTAATGGAAAAAGGTGTCGGCAAAAGAAGCCAACTCAGTGGACGCCTTCCGTCGCACGCGAGTGCGACCAAAAGGCCCCGGCCCCCGTGAGGCGTGAGCCCCAGAGTCTTGAACCCAGAGGGCTAGCAGTCTATTCTGTTCATGTTCAGTGGGAAAAACTAAGGTGTCTCGGTGCCATGACCCACAGCCATGTCACGTCACTTCAGACGTCGACGTCGCATCAAATCAGCAAAGGGGCCATGGAAGACCCAGATCTGGCCACACACCCTGATCCTGGTGGCGACATGTCTCCTTGATCCTGGTTACGAGCTCTCCTCAACCCCCCCTGGGAAGTCTCGTAGCCACTCGTTTTCATCGTGGCGGGGGAATCCAAAGTGGTACAAGATTGCTGGCGTCAACATGTAGTACATTCAAGCGTTTTCAACAGGACTTGCACGTGTTGTGTGTGTTTCACGCAAGTGCCAACCCTCCAAACCATCACAGGCGTCCCGCCACCGGCTTCGTCACAGAAGCCGATCGATCGACCCGGGAAAAACGGCGAAAAAGACGAAAGAACTCGTTCCAAACGAGAATCCAAGATACTCATAGGGTCAGGGTGCAGTATCCAAGATCTGGTCCATCTGGTCAAGGTGCTTGGTATCTTCGAGCAAAAAGGTGCCACGGTCCATCATCATCTACATATCTCGTTGAAAAAGCGATAAAAAGCTTCGAAACGACACGTAGCTTCGGTCGGCAGGACAACTTCATGGTCGGCAGGTGGTCAGACTCGAAATCGCTTACGACCGGGTGAGTGTACGACGGTCCTCTTGGGTTCACCAACCAACCAACCGCGGTAGCATGCGTGGCCCAACTCACAAGGTGCGCCCGAACTCGAGATGCCACTTCGGAGCCCGATGCCACTTTTGCCACCTCTGCGGCGAGAAGGACTTGAAGATCTACTACTACCAAGCTCGCAAGGAGGTCGCTGGGCCATGTTTAGAGGCCCACTTCGGTGGCTGTTTACCGCGTTCCAAACCACCCCGTGGCTGGATTTGGTCAAAATCTCGGTCCATGTCATCTAGCTCTTCGCTGAAAAAACCAAACTCAAACTGATCCATTCGACGAAACGTTTGGTTTGGAGGAGAGACTTCAGAGATTGAAGGACTTCAACCAACCGATGGAGTCACGCTTAGTTTAAGATCCCGTGATAAAAAGTTCTAGCCAGTCTTGGATTCATTCTCCAAGGGCAGATGGGGAAGATGGTCTGTGCACCTTCACTGACTTACTGGTCGTGGCTCAAAGATGACCTTAACTAAAACCTAGCCCACGTCGGAACCATATTGGGATGTAGAATGCGCACGGAGTGTGGGATGCTAAGCTCCAAGTCGGTGCTGCGTCTTTGTTCCTTCCAGCGACCGGATGTCAATGTCCGGAACCGGTGTCGTTTCGTGCGAAGAACCTCCGTCCCGTCATCCGAAAAGGGCCTTGAACCTATGGGGTTCTGGGAGAAAAAGCCTTAAGGTGCAGGGCCGCCCTGGCTCAGCAGAGAACGCGACTTCCAAGGAGGTGTGTGTTTGATGGCCTCTAACCTACTAATAGCAATGACCTCGCGCTTTTCCAAGAGTCCAAAGGCTTCATCAATCGATGTGACCATGACGATGTGCACATCGATATGGCAAGACATATTATGTGGACCAGCCCCCACCGGGGGTCCGAAGATCCGGATGCTTTGCTTTGGCCACCCAGGTGAAAAACACATGCCACTGCACAGTGCGTTTGCATTGGCGACCCTGGACCCGAACCAACGTATACATGTTGGTTCAGTCCTAAACGCTGGCTGTGAGGGTCCAAACCCTAGCGAACTGAGGGTCCTGCCACTGAGTCTTTGGGTTAGTAAGGTCTCAGCATCACGCTGCGACGGCTGGAATCGGGCGGGATCCACATGGAAAAATGCAAGGCCTGCAACCGGTGTGTCTGGGATATACCACTCAAGATATACCAAACGATTTTGGAGATGAATCTTCCACTTTTCCTGTGGACTTTGGGTGCCTAGGAGATACAAACCCAGGACTCGGTCTTTGACCCCGTGAAACACTTCGATCAGTTGTTCAATCCCAACATCGGAAGACCCCGATCTCGATCCCAACATCGCAGCCGAGTGATGCGTTTGGGTGTAGACCCCCGGTGCGCCGCGGCTCGCGGGCGAATTGGCCCAGGAGAAGTGGAAGAATCCGCAGGACCGGACCTCGCAGCGTTGAAAAGAGGGACGCGGAACATGCGAACAAAAACAGAAGAACATGGCCAGTCAGAATGTGTTCATGGTGTTCGCTCAACAACTACCTATCATGTAAGACAATGACCTGCAATGTTGCAATAAACTCTGTGTGATTCTTCGTAGGAGCACACCAATGTCCTGTTGCCGAATCTACACACTAACTTTCAGCACCCTTTTGGGGTTCAAAACCTTCAAAGTTGACGATGTGTCGAAGCTCCTCCCGGCTAAAGCTATGTCGAAGATTTGAATGTGACTGTGTGACTGTTGTGAAGGTCTTGTTGTGTGATCCAGTCAAACCTGATTGGCATCAGGCCATGAAACTATCAAAGTCCGTTGTAAATGGTGCTTTTCTTATCCAAGTCAGCCTGGGTTGCCGTGCCCTTCAATGAAGATTGAAAGTAAAGAACTGCCTCCCTTCCAAACGCTTCTTGGAGGCAGGGCTGCCCCGGGCCGACGACCCGGAGAACGGCGCGTGGCCTGCGGGACCAGTCCCCACACCCAGGGAGCGGGAGAGCTTCGAGCCAGGCGAGATTCGGCGCTGATGCGCTGGCTCGAACTGATGGATTTTCTCAGTTCGGTCCAAAAGGTGGATCGCATCTGGAGATTCTCTCAGTTTGGAATTGTTCACTGGCTGGCTGCAGTTCGCTGATCTGGCTGCTGCCCCAGGTTTTGCACGGGCACGTGCCGACCAGGAGGTGCCGAAGGCCAGAGCAGCGCCAACAGGTGTAGGTGTTGCACACAAGGAGCGGCCAGTCAGCCAGCCAGCAGATGGTGGCAGACCTGGAAAATGAGACAGGTCTAGGTGTATGGAGGCCATCGCTTGTAGGTTGGAGGCCATTGCAACTAGGTGAAAAATTCTGAAATCCAAGAGGGGTGAACACCGTGCTGGGGCGTTGACCCGCACATTTGCTTTGGATTATAGGTGAAAACGAAAGCTGGAGTCCTCAAGTTGACTCTGGAGTCTTAGAGAACTTGGGCTCTCGAGTCTTAGAGTAGGTGGAACTAATAGCGTCCTTGCTACTACCCTGGAAGTCAAAGACCATTTTTAAAATGGTTGATCTGATTTTGTAGTGTAAAACCCTTACTAAAACAATGGTGGTTCGTTAAAGGCTATTTAAACAATGGTGGTTCAACTCCTAGGGCAGTTGATGCTTTGGATTCATCAGCTAGATCTTTGCAGTCAGTCGTTGTCGAACCCCGGCTCTTGAACCTCGGAGGTTCGACATCGCTTTTGTGGGTCGATGTGTCGTTCCAGTCCGCGTTCCGGAATAAGACCATGTGGACTGGTCGTTGTGTCCCATTGCCTGCAACAATTATCACTTTTTGTTGAATACGGCCTTTACCAACCATCATCATCATCATCCGCTGTTACAGGGAATAGGATATACTCATGAAATATTGACCTCCCTAAAACCTGAATGACCTACATTTTGGACCACCAACCAACCAAAATATGATCCAACTTCCTATTAAGGGTTCATTTTGGGGTTCCAGATATAGATTCACCCTCTGAAACCACCAAATGTAGGCCATACTTGCGCCACCATGGATCGTTTGAGAGTTTCCATATGCAGTCTACCAGCACCCAAAGAAGCTCCCCAACGATAGCTGTATTTGTCATTCAACAACGATAGCTAGCTGGTCCTGGTATATGAAAACCAGTTCCGAACGTCTGGGCCATGTCGAACCACGCAACCTCGCAGCCGGAACAAGGTTCAAGAACGTTCGGAACAAAGGGCATCGCTACGTTCGTAACAAGTGCCTTACTAGTAGTAACAAGAAGCTAGTAGAAAGAATATCTTCAATTAGAATTTAATGAGAATCAAACCTCCTGCTTCGCTGCCCCGATTCCACGCGCCCCTTCGCAACCTGCGCAGGATTGGCATCTTCCCGTCCAGCGTTGGCAGCAGAATTGGCAGGTCATACCTCAGGAGACGGTGGACGGTGCAAACACCGGCGAAGAATGCAGAGGAAGCGGCGGTGTTTTTTGGTTGTTTTCGCACCTGCTAAGACATGTCGAGTAGTCAAGAACCCCTAAACCACTTTTGGTAGGAAGGCGAACACGTGTGGTTGCAGCTTCCAGGAAGGGTGAAGACCTCACCCTTTTTTGTTGCGCCCCTTTGATGCTTTGGTTTCACAGACGAGATATGATGTTTGGCGTCGTTTGCCTGAAAAAAGCGGATGGCAGGAGCTTTTCTTTCAGGTGAAGGAGAACAAGCTGATCTTCTGGATGTGAGGTCGTTCCTCGCGCCCCTTCGCAACGAATGATGGAGTGAAGGGACGGACAACCAACCCAGGGACCGTCCTGGCGGGCTGTAGGTCGCAGGTACCCAGGAAGTCAATGGTCACCCGCCCGTCCCTTCAGCGCCAGGCCACCCGAACTTCGGGTCCAGCGGCGGCCGACCTCGTTGGTGACACCCCCACGTTCGCTCAGTTCGGAACAACGAAAGAACGGATCGCAGTCGGAGGACAGCCAAACGACGGGTCATGGAATGTCATGGAGCTCAAAGACGGGTCTAAGTGATCTGTGATGTCGAGGCAAGCGTCGCTGTGAGGGGATGGACGAAGGAATTCATGTAGACGGATGAAACCCCCAATTTAGTTCAGAGGCTGTTGAATTCTGAAGGCAGTTATTTATCAAGAGTTTGCATTCGGTATGGTGTGCACATGGTCAAACCACTCACCCTTGTGCCTTTTTGTTGTCTTCGCAGAGTCTATGGAGGACGAACTAAGGCGGATGACACATCTGGCAATGGGCTAATCACTGGGCCTGGCTGAATTGTGTCTTCTGTGTGTGTGTGTGCGTGTGTTTTGGGGGGCCAAGTAAGGATTCTGAGCAGGTTCACGAGTTGGAACACTCGATGCGACATGTTTGTCTTCAAAGAAAGGCCTACCAACCTTCCAACAAGTTGTTTTTGGACACACCTTAACTTCTAAGAGGCTATGGACATAGACACCTCTTGCTACGCGGTTGTCGCACACTTTGACCCACCCCACAGACGTGATGAGTTCGTTTGAACCAAGGACCGAGTCCCACAGCGCGGCGGCTTCAATGGTCCTTGTAGTGGACTGTTGGATGGGTTGTTTGATAGATGGAGATACAGTGCTTGATTTAGCACAGTGCTTAATTTAGCACAGACCAGGTACTGTGATCACTCAGTGATCACTGTGATTACTCCAGCACAGATTGCGAAGTCAGCTTCAAAACTGAAGCGCTCTACGGCCAGACCCCGTAACCGTGGTTGACAGCACATCAAATGAAGCTTCTAGGGGCTCCTGGCATCGCTAGGAGCAAGGACGCTACTAGGACCTAGGAGCAAAGGGCATCGCTACGAACGGAGCAAGGACGCTACTAGGGGCTCCTGGCCTTACTACTAGGAACAAGAAGCTTTTAGGGTCCTGATTAACTCCTGGCTCAAATGAACAGATTCTTCTACTGTATAAGGATGTGAACCACCAGCATCCCAGGGGCTCCAGGTGTGACCCACACAGATGTCAAACACTCTCAGTAACTTACTAGTGACAAGAAGCTACTAGGTGGAGGCCATCGCTATTAGGTTGGAGGCCATTACTACTAGTAACAAGAAGCCGCCAAGAAACTGCTAGGTGGAGGCCATCGCTATTAGTTATGGAGGCCATTAAGAAGTTACTAGTAACAATTGGTGATAGCTTCGATTCTTCCTCTTCGGTCGCGTGGCCTGTTTGCCTTGGAGCCAAAATACTGCGTGATCGATCTGTTTGAAGCGTTTGGCTTGAAGCCAAGCGGAATCGTTTGGAGCATTTCTGGGTGGTGTTGGATGTTGTTATCTTCAACCGAAGCTTGAGATCATTGATCCCACTGAAACCGCCATCCCAGAGATCTTTGCTCATTGGTGAGAGCGAAATCCTTCATGACTCACCAGGATCGACCAGGGTGAATAGAGGCTGACAAGGGATTGCAGGTTCTTTGGTAGCGTCCTTGCTCCTAGTAGTAATGGCCTCCAACCCACTTGCGATGGCCTCCAAGCTAGGGGCGATGGCCTCCAACCTACTATCGGACAAGGGAGTGTAAGATATTGCAAGTTCTTTGCCTTGCGAACTGGTTTTTGTATGAAAGCTTGTGAAAACATGTGGCCATGGCTGGCAGTCCACTCGGAGACTTCCAATCCTCCAGATGAACCAAAACATGTTCGGCATGACGTTTCAACACACGACCACCGATGAAATCGGGATGGCTCACGTAGACTCGCTGCCAGTCCACCCAGGAGCTTACCTTTCATTCAATTCCCTTTTCATAAGCTCCATGCTTTTAGACTCGTGATATCTATCCCAGACACGACTTGTCACTGATATATTTGGGGTGGTTCAAAAGGGGTGAATGTAGGTAAATCTACCAGTCCCACAAGTCGTGTAGTCCCATGGGTCCTCGAATGCTGTCCTGGGCGTCCCTATACCCAGCACCGAACTACCTGCTCTCAAGGCATCTCCAGCAGGTGTAGCTGCTGGATAAAAGCTATATTTAAAGATAAAAACGGAAGACATATGCCGGCAAGACCCCAAACAGTGTGTCTAGAGGTCTAAGGTCAGCAGAAGGTCGAAGCAGTTTGGGCTCCACTAAGAACGCGAGGTTTGGACGGACATCATTGGCCACCAGCCTTGCCTTTCACGAGTCAGCTCGTAGGATTTGGCGGAAGTCGCCGCTCGTGTGGAGCCTGGTGGGTCGTTGGCAGGTGCGTACGTCCCCGTTTGGCTCTGCCGGCCACGTGGGACGACATAACAGTAAGCCCGGAGTGCACTCGAACGGGTTTCGTTCGGATGCGTCGCCCTAACCTGCGCGTCCGGCCCTCGATGCAGCGACCAGCACAACTTGCAGGTAGCCACGTCGCTGTTTCAAGTCCGTAGAGATCGCAGGTGGCTTAATTTGAGAGAGCGCATGCAAGCACAGGAATTTGCCATGGGACGATCTTGGGACCATCGTTTGTCAAACCGCGTTCGGTCCACCATTGACCATGGCTGTGCCATCAGATGTTTGGGTGAGTTGGACATCGGAAAAAAGAAATCTTCCAAAGGCCCAAATGAACTAGTGCCTACATGAGCCCAGGGGTGCTTCTCCCTCTTTTTTGTTGGGTTTTTTGTGCGTTTTTTTTGGGTCACCCAGACTCTGTCCCGGCCAGATCCAAAGCAATAGAGATCAAAAAGCAATAGAGACATCTACTGCTTCATCCATTCCACTCGCGAGAAGAAACAGGACGCAGCACATGCTGCCGCGATGCATCGCATGCAGCACATGCAGCACAGCCGGTCACGTACACCAAGTGGAGAATTGTTTGTGCAGGTTGAATGGCTGATTGGTACTTCCCTAATAATCCGGCCCTCGAATACAGTTTTGAGGGTACGGACTCCTGCTATGGAGGATCCCTGGGGTTACTAGAAAACACCGAGGAAGAGGGTCTCCAAAGCCGTAAAGGTCTGGAAAAGCACCGAGCCGGTTGAGACTTGGTGTCTCCAAGCGAAATCTGGGCTGGAAAATTGACTCGTGAGAGGCATCCAATGGGTTTGGTCCCCTACTCTTCCCTTGACCAGTCCGAGACTGTCACGACAGTACCACCGGTCGCATGACCAGTCGCGACAGATGTCAGAGAAAATGACCATGTTGGACCGCCCCACTGGTAACAGGTGTCCATCAGGACCAATGAAGCGCTCCTAACGACCCAACGACCCCACCCGACGTGTCTCTTCCGATCCTCCAGAAACCCACGGCTCCTGATTAGAGGGGGGAACGGAAGAGAAGAAGAACACCAAGTGAAATGGTGGTAGACGACTCTGCAGACGAACATCGGTTTGCCCCAAAGCAGCTTGTAGAAGAAGAGTGGTCAAAAGCACAAGGTCTTCCTTCTCAGGGTTCCAATGGAGGGATATCGAACCTCGAAAGCGTCAGGGGTCTCCACCGGTTGGCCTAATAAGGGAACGAAGCTTCGCGACGAACGGTGGAACGAAGAGCCTCGGCTCGTCGTTGATCCTCGACCGACCTGGTCGAACGACCGGTCCTTGGATTCCAAGTATAACCCGCCGATCAGGGTGTTGGGTTCAGATCCAGGTTTCAAATCTGCACTGAGAACCAGAACCAGAACCACCACCCTGACTGAGTCGGGTCAGAAACCGTGGCGGCCGGCGGCTTCGACTGATGACACGAGGCTCCACAGTGCGGAGGTGGCGGCCCTGCCAGCGGAAGTGCAGGTGTGGGAGAAATCAGTGACATGAGGATCATGCTTTGGCGGAGATGATGATGATGATGATGATGATGATGATGAATTGATATATGAATTGATATATGAATTGATATATGAATTGATATATGAATTGTAATTCTGGTAATCACCGTGATCCTTGTGTGTATGTGGTGACGAAAGATCGAAAGCTGGCTTTTTTCACAGGCAGGCCGGATGTCGCCTGGCCATGGACGAAGTCACATGTCACATGTTTGCAGAGCATCACGCATGGTCAGGTGGAGATGGAGGTCATCGCCAGGTTAGATGGCTCTAGAATCCATTTCTAGTAGAAGTCCTTGTTGTAGAGGGTAGAAAGACTTGGTTGGATATGATAAGCAACTTCACAACTGCCTAGCTCTCCCAATGCTTCGACGAAGGTGTGTGTCCAGCCCCCACCCAAGGATCTATCGCTAGTGATCCAACCGTTCTTGTCGCGTGGCCGCGTCTTGAACCCCAATTCCATGCTTCATACCATGACCTTCCATTCGAGGTGTCGATGTCCATAGCCTGGTAAAGAGCTGAGGAACCGGGGTGTCCAAAAACCGCCGGACCTTGGCAGCTCGTTCCTGGTAGACTCGAATTCCTTTGCCATGTGCTACGAACGGAACAAAGGGGATCGCTACGAGTAGCAAGAAGCTACGATCGTGGCTCTTGGCCATACTACTAGGAGCATGTCACTCCTTTTGCCTCGGTCGTACCTTCTGAGAAGGTGTGTGGGGTGGGTGCCAGGAGGGTCCAGTCATACCGAACCTGAGGAGGTGCGACTGGAGGTGGTGGGGCACGGTGGGGCTTTCGCTGGGACAGCACCACGCTGCCCCGCCCCTTCTTACCAGGACCGGAGATCCATCGTGAACGCCGGGGCGCCCGAATTCCGCAGCGGGTGCGCCACGTTCGGAAGACGTGCAGCTGTTGGTGAGGTCGGTGAAGAGAGGGGTGAAGTGGGGCAACAGCCCAGTTGGCAACTGAATGGATTGGTAAGACTCGGAAG